TTGCAGGTCGGGGACATTAACAGCGGAAGTTTAAATAAGTGGGAAGTGTTTTGTCAGAGGACTGTAAGTGCGACACAGATCCGTAGACGTATTGCGGTGACCAAGGACGCATTCCAAAAGCTGTGCATAGTATTGCAAGACAGGAGGATTTCCTTGGTAACAAAGAAAAGAGCTGTTACGTGACATCTGTCCTCCTTTACGGCGGCGAATGTTGGACGGTCTCCTCAAAGATGAAGAAGAGACTCCAGGCGACGGAGATGTGGTTCTGCAGAAGGATGCTTAGGATAGCCTGGACCGAGCGTGTGAGCAGCGATGAGGCCTTAGAGAGGATGCAAACATGGAGGAGGCTTATACTTAACACCAGGAAAAAGCAGCTAAAGTTTCTGGGACACGTAATGAGAAAGGAGAACCTGGTGAATCTGATACTCACAGGTCGAAGAGAGGGAAAGAGAGAGAAGGGAAAGCAACACATGACATACCTGGCGGGCTTAAGCAAGTGGATGACAGAATGTGATTAGTGTAAGCACGAGCCTATTGAGAGCCACAAGGTATTGGGTGAAGTGGAGAGCCATCATCGCCTACATCCTGAAAGGAGACTGCACATAAAAACATAAGAAGAATATAAAATAAAAGTTCACGCATTTTTAATTAACACCAGCTACTGCTTCCTCTCTGCATCATTATTACTTATACGAAGCAGGATTCAGATTCCTATTAACGATACGCTAAAAGCCTTTGGGCAAGAAGACGTTAACAGTGTATTATTCCTAGCCGCAGATACGTAGTGAATAGCTTCTACCTTTCAGCGAACCAATAGCTACAACATTCTGTTGTTTTTAGCGTCACAAGCTGACTTCAAATGACCGCCATGAAACTTCTCTCTATATTCAGTAAATATAACCACAACGTTGATGGGTTCGCATTTGCATTCGTTTCCTGTTTGGGGTCTATTCATTTCCGGTCTACCAAGTTGTTTGATAGTTATTCACCAGTCAGTGGAATTTATTTCCGATCACCTTTCCCTGACGAAATATAATTATACCTACCTTTGTTAATATCTGTCTATATTTCTGAGATGAGGTATTATGTACACTATTTACATTATTCGGACTATTGTCCCCATCTTTGTCGCCATATTTATTACGTTTCGACCCTTCAGCATCTGTCTATATTTCTGAGATGAGGTATTATGTACACTATTTACATTATTCGGACTATTGTCCCCATCTTTGTCGCCATATTTATTACAACGTTTCGACCCTTCAGTATCTGTCTATATTTCTGAGATGAGGTATTATGTACACTATTTACATTATTCGGACTATTGTCTTCATCTTTGTCGCCATATTTACTACACGGACACATGGCACAGTGGATAAAGACGTTAGTTAGATCCAGTGACAGGACCTAAAAGAGTATGAGTTCAATACCTGGTTAAGAACTTGGAGAGGGGAATTAACAGGAGATAACTGACAACTAATATCCATTAGACATGGCACATGGATCTAGAACAATTTACCCCAGCGAGTGAAATAAAGAGTTCAATTCGACATTCCAACAACCTGAAGAAGGCCGGAGCGTACAACGACCGAAACTTTGTAATAAATATGGCGACAAAGATGAGGACAATAGTCCGAATAATGTAAATAGCTTAGTTAATATATAATTTAATCTCTTGATATCTCTTTATCAGTCTATCTCAGTGCGTTATTATCTATTTTAATCGAATCATATCTTTCTCTACCAGTCTGTTGACAGCTATCATTCTCTCTCTCTCTCTCTCTCTCTCTCTCTCTCTCTCTCTCTCTCTCTCTCTATATATATATATATATATATATATATATATATATATATATATATATATCCAGTTACGATGGGTATGTACAAAATTCACAAAGCATATAACTTCAGTATATGTCTATATTTCTGAGATGAGATATTATGTACATTATTTGGCTCCTATATTGTATTCATTTCTATGCTTGGTCGGCTCAAGAGATTTTTGTGGCCTAGCATATGTGCTGATTCCTTAAGTTTACGAATTTTCCAATCGTGTTCCTTGTCTATGATCTCAACCTGATCCCACAAAGGGCGGTGATCTCCCTTCTCTCTCCCTTCTCTCTCCCTATTTCTGGTCATCAACGCCTGATTTTTCTACTTCCCCTTGTGTTACAGCCGAGATAATGTAATAATTTATGTAACTCTATGTATCCTCTTTAAGTTTATGTCTGGCTGCCGTTAGCTGCCAATCTACGGTAAATGACTCATTTATAAAAAATATTTTTTAATTTTTGCTTCTTCGCTTAGTTTAAATTTACCGTAGGTCATATTTGATTGGTTGATCAGATCAAACCGTATAACCCCCCCTTTTTATTCGTAAAAAGAGGTTGTATTTTGCTTTTAAATATAAATAAATCGTTCATTCGCCAGTAACTTACAACCGCCTGATGAGATGCATTTGATACGCATCGAAACACAACTGCAAATGTGTAGCTATTTTACATGTTTCAGTGTATATATATATATATATAATATATATATATATATATATATATATATATATATATATATATATATATAAAGGAAGAGGTTATAGTAGTTTCAACGAGAGAAAAGTGTGTATAATAAAAAGAAGAGAGAAACCGCAAACGTTTTTGGTTGTAATATGGATTTTAAAAAAATATATATTATGCTTTATTTTCCATAATTTTGCTACACGTGCTTCCGGTATCGCGAACTTCATCAGCTAAAGAGTGGATATTTCCACATATTATTAAAAGGAATTAATTTTTTTATGTTTTTTGATGTTAAATATTCTCGATATTAGATATTCTCTTTTTTATGTGTTAGTGACCCAAATGTCTTTCTTGAACCGGCAGTGAAAAGGTTCTGCGTGAAGGGTATTAAAACAATTAAGGCTGGTCCGAGAAAGGGGGAGAAAGTTATCTATATTCTTATTTTTAATGACCCTAGTGTGTTGTTAGATTTATTTCCATTTTTTTGTGTTTTTGTCGTATATTCCATCTCTGTAAATTATATATATATATATATATATATATATATATATTAAAGACATATTTTATGTTTAACGTTGTTATTTTATAGATACAAGTATTTAAGCAAATGCTCTGTTTATGATAAACAGTATTAAATAACATTTACCGGCCTGAATGTCCGAGAAATTTTTCATAGAAAATATTCGTTCTTTGACAGGATTCGAACCTGCATCCTATACGGAACCGTCATATACGCTGACGTGCCTTACCGCTAGGCTACAAAGAAGCGTTCGGTAGACAAGGTCGAATTTACTGCTTATAAACTCCAATTTTCCATGAATCTCGTACATTCATAACTGCTCTGGCGTATCGAATGTAAACAAATTACGTCATATATTAAGAAATATTAAGCATTCAGAGTATATGACGGTTCCGTATAGGATGCAGGTTCGAATCCTGTCAAAGAACGAATATTTTCTATGAAAATTTCTCGGACATTCAGGCCGGTAAATGTTATTTAATACTGTTTATCATAAACAGAGCATTTGCTTAAATACTTGTATCTATAAAATAACAACGTTAAACATAAAATATGTCTTTAATAAATAAATTGTCGGACCTTGTCCATTATATATATATATATATATATATATATATATATATATATACTATCTTATTATAAGGAATTAGTATACACATATGTACACATACACACAGACACACATACGTACACATACACACAAACTGACACTTCCTATGTTGTGTCGGGTTCGTGTGGGGCCGTGAGGAATTTTGTTTTTGTCAATATGTGTGTATATATATATATATATATATATATATATATATATATATATATATATATATATATATACCCTCCATGTATGTACATGTGCACTCTCTCTATACACACATACTGTCTTATTATAAGGAATTAGTATACATACATACACACAAATATACATCCACATATACATACATACATACACACACACAAACTTCCTATGTTGTGTAGGGGTTTGCACGCATGCATGTTGGCTGTCTATTGTTTTTGCCAATATGCGTGTATATATATATCCATGCTCCACATATAGATTGCACGTGTTATGCCCCCCAAAAATGTGTGTGTGTGTGTGTGTGTGTGTGTGTGTGAAAATATATAGAAAATAGGAAACAAATGGTTAGGTAAATAATCCAAAGTTCCTTCGTATTTTAGTTATTATTTTTAAAAAAATAGTGATCGATACAAAAGTAGAGCATAAATATAATTATTTATTTAAAAATATGATTCCAACTCGCGACATAAGATTCCCAAAAATATCTCGCTTGAAGATGGAACAGAGCTTACTTCAACTCAATTTAATTCGAATAATTAGATTGAAGTTTTCGGCTCTTGTTTTGAAACATGAGACCTCTTATGTCGCGAATTGGAATCATATTTTTAAATAAATAATTATATATATATATATGCGTGTGTGTGTATGTGTCTGTGTGTGTTTGGTGGAGAGTATGTATATTAATGTTTTGTCTATTTATTTGTTTTTCATATCTATATCTGTATATATTCGTATTTCTCTCACTCTCTCTTTTCCGACACACACACACACGCAATATATATATATATATATATATATATATATATATATATATATATATATATATATAGGGATAGATAGATAGATAGATAGATAGATAGATAGATAGATAGATAGATATTCTGTCTTCTTAATTCATGTTCTTTTATTGGCCTAACTCCTTAACAATGATTTTAATCAAATTCTTTAACAGCCATTAATCTCTCGTGTGTTAGTGGCTTTATTGCCTTGTTTCTGGGGAAAGAATTAAAAAATATCTTTATTTTAATAGTCTGTTTATTTCTATCATTGTGGCTAGGTTCATATATCACTATGTTTAAACCTATATATATATATATATATATATATATATATATATTTCATTCTGTTTATATTGATGTCAGATATCATTTCTGTTCTAAATATTTTACATTTATTTATCATTTGAGCCATAAATAGATAGATAGTTAATGAACGCACTGAGATAGATAGATAGATAGATAGATAGACAGATAGAAAATGAACGGGCTGAGATAGATAGATAGATAGATAGATAGATAGATAGATAGATATAATACGGTGATGTAAGATATGGTAGAAAACTTTGTGTCTCCTTCAGGCTACCGAATATCTAAATAAGATTAACGAAAACAGGATGCCAGGAGATTGAAGGAATTAGATACCTGAATAAGAAATAGAGACGAATGCGGACGTGAGTATCATTGAAGTCATCAAGGGAGTTCAAGAGACTTGAGCTAATTTCGTATTACTTACTCATTCGAGAAAACTTCACATATCTACATCATACATATAATAGTTCTACATATCATAGTACTTGCATTTATTCGTGACCATTGACAACCCGTTTCTTACTGAATTTAATGCATTCGCCATAGTAAATCATTTGCAATACGTTTACATTATGTGTACAACTTTCCTATTCTCGTAACAATGCTTGCATTAATTCATGACCAAAGATCATCCCTTTCTTTCTGATTTTAATGCATTAATAGATATTAGTATTGGAATTGTTTAAGATGTCATTCTCGTTTCATAGGTTTTGCTGATTGAATTGTTTAAGGTATTATTTTTCTTTATGCATAGACATGGCTGATCGAATTGTTTAAGGTATTGTTCAAGGTATAGACTTTGCTGATCGAATTGTTTAAGGTACTGTTGTTCTTGAGGCATAGACCTTGCTGAGCGAATTGTTCATGGTATTGTTCTTCTTGAGGCATAGACTTTGCTGATCAAACTGTTTAAGGTATTGTTTTTCTTGACTTTGCTGATCGAATTATTTACGGTTTTATTTTTTCTTGAGGCATAGACATGGCTGATCGAATTGTTTAAGGTATTGTTGTTCTTGAGGTATAGACTTTGCTGATCGAATTGTTTAAGGTACTGTTGTTCTTGAGGCATAGACCTTGCTGAGCGAATTGTTCATGGTATTGTTCTTCTTGAGGCATAAATCAAACTGTTTAAGGTATTGTTTTTTTTTGACTTTATGATCGAATTATTTACGGTTTTTTTTTTCTGGCTGATCGAACAATGCTTGCATTAATTCTTGACCATAGACTTTCTGATCGAATTGTTCTTTCTGTTGTTTTAATGCTTGCTAGATATTGTTATGGTATTGTTCTTCTTTTAAGACTTTGCTGATCAAACTGTTTAAGTATTGTTTTTCTTGACTTTTGATCGAATTGTTTAAGGTTTTATTTTTCTTTATGCATAGACATGGCTGATCGAATTGTTTAAGGTACTGTTGTTCTTGAGGCATAGACCTTGCTGAGCGAATTGTTCAAGGTATTGTTTTTCTTGAGGCATAGACTTTGCTGATCGAATTGTTTAAGGTATTGTTTTTCTTGAGGACTTTGCTGATCAAACGAATTTTTTTACGGTTTTATTTTTCTTGAGGCATAGACATGGCTGATCGAATTGTTTAAGGTATTGTTGTTCTTGAGGTATAGACTTTGCTGATCGAATTGTTTAAGGTACTGTTGTTCTTGAGGGACCATAGAATTTTCTGTATTGTTTTTTCGAGATTGTTCAATTGGTATTGTTTTTCTTGTGGCATAGACTTTGCTGATCGAATTGTTTAAGGAATCATTCTTGTAAACTGATCGCACAAAGTATAGTATATGTTTTTAAGTAATTTTGGAAGGTATCATTCAGTCTTATTTCAAATTTGTCTATTTGATAATGTATGACAGTCTATCCCAGATTTTGTAGAAATATTTCGGTTTCTATACTGCTTATGTTTATATTGATATCACTTTCGGTACGTTATTCAAATGTGCCATCATCTCATCAATTGTACTCACCCAATAGTTTGAATAATGTAAATAGTTCACGGATTATTTTCCACCCTACAACCTCTTTCTTACAGACGAGAAGTTGCAAGCTCCATCGCTTGTTCTATCGCTATTTTCATGGATAGTATTCAGATAAATTACACTCCTTAGTTCCAGCAGTCCTAATCTTGACGGCTAAGACGCGCCACGTCACGCACATGGTAGCCAACCACCTTCATTCTCTTCGTATTTCCATGACGAGATGTAAGTCCAATTCAAGCAGCCTGTTACAACGAACAATGTCTTGTGGAACCGATTTCCAAGAGTTTGCTTCCTCGATCACTACAATCTTAACTTGTTCAAGTCTAGGATTAACTGTTTTCTTCCATACATATCCTCATAAGCAGTGCCTCTTATTCTACCTTGAGTGGCCCTCGGTCTTTGTGCAGTATGACCTTTTTTTTTTTTAATTAAGCCAAAACTAGGAGAAGATATAGATGTACGAAAGTAAATCCAAACCCTACGTCCTAGGGAATAGGGGATGGATTTTAGACAGCCTTTTGGGTGATGACTCTTGAAATGAAGATATTGTTCGGGTAACTGTAAGTTTGTGGTGGATATCTGTGATGATGTGGTTGTTTCTATTTCTAATGAGTATATCTAAGAATGGTAATTAAAATTATATTCCTGAGTGAATTTGATCTTCTGGTGTAAGTTTTGGAGTAGAGTATGGAACTGTTTAATATCGCCCCATGAGAATTTCCAGAAAATGAAGCAATCATCTAAGTATTGCGTCCAAGATTTACTGAAGTCGGTTTTTATATTTTCCCCATATATTTGTTCTGTCTTTTCATAGAGGTTTTTTCTAGGTAAGCTAATGTTAGGGCAGCATATGTAGGTACCATTTTCGTTCCCATTGCAGTACCCAGGGTTTAAATATAGTTTTGTTGTCAAATTCAAAAGTGTTATTGTTCAGATTTAGGTCCATATTATCGATAATGAATTCTTTAGTGAATCAAGGATGTCATATTTCTGGGTGTGTTTCAATCCAGAATGAAAGTGCCTGTTTACCCAATTCATGGGGTATGTTGCTATATAGGCTACTGATGTCAATCTTTTTTATGAATGATCCCGGATGAATTGGAATTTTAATAAAACTACACACAATAAGTATATCTTGCATATGGAGTGCGTCACCAAATCTTAGAAATTTAGATTATACTATTATTAAATTGACAGAACCGTACCAACCACACCAATTTACCGTATTTTGTCTCCTAAAAAATATCCTGAAAAATACGTGTGCGTCTTCCAAGAAGGCAATGGGCAGGCTCAAGTAAGCTTGGACGGTCACCTAATAGGCTTCACTGATAGGGACGTAGATTTCTATGTTGAGTCATTGCACTATAATGTTAGCTATTTATCTAATTCAGCATTTTATATGATGTAACCTCAGTACTTAGCTGTTACAAGTATTTCAAAAAACTATAAACCTTCCTGGAGCCGAGCCACAAGGTTAAAAATGGTCTGTTTATTAGCAACAGCGGGAGCTTTTTTCTTTTGAGTAGTAGGTCATTGCTATACAAACGAAATCGGATGAGTGATTAATGTAAAGCGCCAGTATGTGAGGGATGCATGGTGGATGAATTGTTGCATGAGAATGACGTCTTTTTTCTTTAAAATTTCTTTCAAATATTAGGGTGCGTCTTCCAAGCCGCAGAGTCCTGTAAGCCGGAAAATACGGTAATTAATTGTTCGTGCTGTAAATTCTACTTAGAGGTGCCCAGCCGTGGGGAACAGCTGCCCGAGGCCGCGCCCTCTGTTTACACCAGAGCGAGGGATCGATGATCGCACCGAGGCCAGCGCAACCGACGGTTGCGGGGACTGCTGGCAATTTTGGCTCCTAGCCCGGGAGTACACGCTCGTGCTGCCTACATTAAACCGACCTTGTGTCACAACCTGACCTCGTGGGAGTTGAATAAATACAAATTAATTATTCATTGGTTATATACTACCCCACCTGTGGATGCCCGGTGAAATTGTTCGGCAATAGCGTTATAGATTGGTGTCTGAATTAAAGTCAATGGTTCCTTTGTATTTCAAGAACGGGTCAGAGTGTAGCGATTTTCCAAACGTAGCTCGGATGTGGAACAGGGCCGAAAGTATGGGGTACCCAGTAAGGGTCGAACTCACTACTCAGTCGTAATTGTTCTAGCGAGACAAGCTTGCTAACCATTACACAACTTTGAGGTGCCCTTTGAACGGGTCAGAGTGTATAGGGATTGTAGAAGGCCAAGAAGTGAAGGAAAATATTTTATTTTCTAGCTTCACCTTTGCTTTTTCGACATTTCCTAACGACTGTTCTCGTTACTCTTTTGTAAATCATGTGACAGAGATTTAACTTGACAAATAACGACAATGAGAGAGCAATTACGCTCGCAAAACTGGAGCAAAAGAAATCGGAACGTCACTGATTGTGTTTTTCTTTACTTCTTCCAGCCAATTTAGAATTTTATAAACCATCCTTGCCCGCATCGTTTTAAAAGCCCACTTCAATTTACGAGCAAAACAACCAAGGAGAATCAATTAAAGGAGCCACTATCAATGTCTATTAGAAGTGGACGAAAAGTAGATAGTTTTTCTTTTCCTTCTATCAGACAAGGACATTTGAAAACATGGCTTTCCGACATCTTAAAGGAAGAGGGATACACACAAAAAAAGGCGATAACAGGGAAAAGAAACAGAAAAAGAGAAAAAGTGAAGGAGAAAAAAGAAGCAGGAGAGGGAGGGGTTGAAAGAAAGAAAGAAAGAAAGAAAGAAAGAAAGAAAGAAAAGGGGAGAATGAGTACTATATATATTCAAAAATTCCCAGAATCCCTCTGTTGTACTCATGCGTAGTCCTACCAACATAACAAATTTAGTCCGATGAAGTCCTAACGGAGGAAACCCGTCACAGATAAACATTTCCACTTCGTCATACAATTTTCCCAATACTGTTCTTGATATATAAAAATATATATCGTTATCTCATATATATATATATATATATAAACAGAGAAAGAAAGAGAGAGAGATTTAATAGACCCATTAATACAATTTAAGGAATAAAAAAACAAAAAATGATAAATGTATTGGCACTAAAATTGATGATATTTAATATATATTAACCTTTGGCTAAATTAAAACACGGAGCGAAAGATTTTAAAATCGGAATTTTCAGATACGCCCTGTGTCCTTTTCAACGATACAAGGGATGAACCAAAGGAAGATTGTTATTGTTTCAATTACACACACACACACACACACACACACACACACACACACACACTTTGTGCTATATATATATATATATATATATATATATATATATATATATATATATATATATATATATATATGTGTTAGATTAAAATCTTAAAAAAAAAATGATTATAATATTTATTTTGCTCTACTGTTTTGTAGTGAGCATTATTTTTAAATAAAATAACTGTTAAGAACACCGGATTATAAACCTTACTGTTCTTTCTTCTTATTATTATTATAATATATATATATATATATATATATATATATATATAAAATTAATGATTTCATAAAATCTATTCATCCATCCGAAATAATCATGTTTTTAAATAATAAAAAATCATTTTTACTTAAGAGAATGTAGAATTTCTGACTCTTAATATTTGCAATGACGAAAAATACCTTGAATATATATATATATATATATATATATATATATATATATATATATATATATAGGCTCCCCCGTCGGTTTCCACGCATGAGGATCTGACAGATTAATTGATTCAGTTATGAAATTTTGTGCAATATTCTTAAGTGGCATTTAAGGAGGCCACATATGGAGCAAGAATGATCACTGTTAGATTAGCTGACCTTCTATATCTTGCTCTCGATTCTTGATATAAATATAAAATACTTGATAAAATATAGTTTTAAGATATGTTGTATTTACGTATTAAAGTGCTCAAAATCAGGGTAGGAATGTATGTAGTATAAAAGAGAAAATGTATGTCTAAACCCAACAGCGACAGTCTGTTTCATGCTTAAACGCAATCGTCAGACTATGTTAGATGTGTTTTTACCCGGCTATTTTTATATACTGGTGAGTGAGGAATTCTTGCTAAGCCTATTGTAATATTCTAATGGCTATTTGGGTAAGTAGTAGAGGTTATATTTCGAATTATTTTAGGGGCTCCTGGGTAGAAATGATTGTAGATACGGGTGCAGACTTGTGGCTATTTTATAGTGCTCTTCGTTAACTCTTTTGTTTATTATTAATTATTGATTACACGTCTTTTGGTGCCAAGAAATAAAACACATTTTTTTGCCCAATTTGATGGGGCTGATTCCGAATATGACCTTATTTTTCAATGGTTAGCTACCGTTTTTGGTGTAATGAAATTGCTCATTTGGGGGAGAAATCAATTTACGATCTTAGCTGATCGCAAAATTTAGTTAATAAAGTTTGTAGAAACCTATCAATTTTCAGGTAGGCAAAGCAATTTGTCAGCCACGTGAAATAAACTATTTTTATAAGAAAAAGTGTGTTGAGTCCAAAATTTTAAAATAGGAGTACAGAATACTTCATCCCAGAAATATAGACAGGTACTGAAAGGTCGAAACGTTGTAATAAATATGGCGACAAAGATGTGGACAATAATCCGAATAATGTAAATAGTGTACATAATGCCTCACCTCAGAAATATAGACAGATACTGAAGGGCCTAAACGTTGTAATAAATATGGTGACAAAGATGAGGCCAATAGTCCGAATAATGTAAACAGTGTACATAATGCCTCATCTCAGAAATATAGACAGATACTGAAAGGCCGAAACTTTGTAATAAATATGGCGACAAAGATGAGGACAATAGTCCGAATAATGTAAATAGTGTAAATAATACCTCATCTCAGAAATATAGACAGATACTGAAAGGCCGAAACGTTGTAATAAATATGGCGACAAAGATGTGGACAATAGTCCGAATAATGTAAATAGTGTACATAATACCTCATCTCAGAAATATAGACAGATACCGGACATTTACTATTGCTTTTTTTTATTGTTGATTGTTATTATTACGTTTACTTGTGTTTAGCTGTGCGTTCGTAGTGAGTTTGTTTATATTTATTTGTTTATTTACTAATCTATTGGTTTGGATTCATTTATTTTACATTTTTTTATCTATTTATTTTAATTTATTTTTATTATTCTTAATCTTCTTCTTATTTCTATTTATTCTGCTTCTTTTTTTTAGATTTTTTAAGTAACGTAGTAAAATTTGCATCATGTCGTCTCACAAATTTGCAGCTGAGAAATTGTAATCGTAAATTCTATGCTAACAGTTTAATTTCACGCACTTCTCGCTTGTGGAACTCGTTTCTGGTTCTAAGCTTTCCAGACTAATTTAATCTGAAATTTTTTTTAAATCGCTATTTGCTGTCTTCCTGATTACACTCCCTCTATTCTCTCTCTTGTTTCTGTTACTAACATTTCCGCACTTAGCAACCTCTTGCCTCTTGGTGGCTTTATTACCTTACTTGGGGTGGAATCGATTAAAAAATAAAATAATGTAATACGACCGACGAATCAATAACGATTGAAAAATTGAAGAGAA